ACCCCAGGGGAGATCAGTGAACTGCACTCTCTCCTTCATCACATTGCCAACAGTGGGGAGACTCTGGATTAAACTGGGGTGTCTGTGGTGTCAGGCTCCCAGGGGAGATCAGTGAACTGCACTCTCTCCTTCATCACAGTGCCAACAGTGGGGAGACTCTGGATTAAACTGGGGTGTCTGTGGTGTCAGGCTCCCAGGGGAGATCAGTGAACTGTGACCCCCAGCAGTTAGTCTCTCCTCATGGCCCTGGAGGAGTTCTGCCCAGAGCTCAGTGAAGAGCAACAGAACAGCTGAGTTTTACTTGTGTGAGCAGCCGGACGTGAAGCCAGATGGAGATACAGTGGAGAGAGCCTGTTGTTTCGGGGGTCAGGGGTGAGCCCCAGTGTCTGTGGGTTGAGGGGACCTCTATAATCAATCAGTATTGAGCAGTGTGAGGGAGACTGTGTCAGAGGAATCGGTAGATCAGCTGAGGCCTTCATCCTCTGCCCTGTTCAGACCTGGGAAGACAACCGGACACTGGGGTCAGTACAAACAAGGACACACAGGTCAGTCACAACCCCCAGACACCTGATTCCTTCAAGACCCCAATCACAGTGACTGACACACTGCGGGACTGACGACACAGACCTGGGACAGGCACAGGTACAGGTACAGGTGTCTCTGACAGGTGTGTGTGTGACTAGAGTGTGTGTACAGGTGTGTGTGAGTACAGTGTGTGTACAGGTGTCTCAGGTGTGTGTCAGTAGTGTGTGGTACAGGTGTCTCACACAGGTGTGTATGTGTGACTAGAGTGTGTGTACAGGTGTGTGTGTGTGCAAGTAGTGTGTACAGGTGTCTCTGACAGGTGTGTGTGTGAGTACAGTGTGTGTACAGGTGTCTCAGACAGGTGTGTGTCAGTAGTGTGTGGTACAGGTGTCTCACACAGGTGTGTGTGTGTGAATACAGATTATGTACAGAGGTGAGAGCAGGTACCTCAGATGGATCTTCATGCTTTAGCTGGGGGGTTGTTGGAGGAGTTGGAGTCGCTGTCAGAAGCTACAATGACACAACACATCCTGTTAGGACACACACTCCACAACACACCAACACTCACAGTGTGTCACTGCAACACTGAGGAGTGTGTGAGTCCTGATGACTCTCCACTCTCTCACCCCTACAGCCTGGACATCATCACTGTGTTCACATAGTAATTCAGAGACAGGTGATATATACTCACTGAGAGTCTCCATATCCTGAAACACTAATGACTGTGTCTACAGGTGAGTTTATACTCACAGTCCTGTTATTTCACACAGTAATTCA